TTCTATCCTTCGTTGTATGTATGTATGTATGTGTATATATATATATATATATAGATATGTATATATATATATATATGTATATGTACACACATGTATATATATGTATGTATATATATTTCCAAGTCTCTCAATAAAAACATAATAAAAAGAACAAAAAAGAGCCATCAGAAAGTGTGCAGCCTCCCACTTCATTACCACTGCCGTTGCAATTTGCATAATGTATATGATGATAATTATATGACAAATAAACGATATATAATGTATATAATATATGTATGTATATAAATAATCTTGTCATTTTTTTTTGCACCGTGTGCACCGCACACTTTTCTTTTCTTTTCTTGGTCGTAGAATGAGAGGGAGAATCGAATAGACACTCGGCGCTCGTTACTTTTTGCAGTTTATTTGCAATTGGTTCATATAATTGGTAACTGATTTCGGATATAACTAGTACTAGAAACCTAAACAACGTATGAAACTTTATACATGTCTAATTTTATTTTAGTAGTGCTAGGACAACTATATATTTACAAACAAACGCATTGAGCCGTTTTTCGCGATGCATGAGTAGATGCTGGAAAAGCTATGCTACGCATGTAGATTCCGTTGTCTACACGCACATCTTCGTTCAGAAATCCAGGCCCAGGCGTTTGAAGGAAGTTTGGATCTGTCTGTGGCGTTTGCGTTTGCGTTCGCGTTCAGACATTGCCACGGAATTGTCTCTACCCATATAGTGCTTCCTCCACGTTTTCGTATTTGTCAAAAATATGTCGAATTGTCAAAAGTAATAATAATAATGATAGCCGGCAAAAATCGTTCATTTTGATAAATATCGATGTGTACATCTTTAAAAAGTGAATAATATAGGAAATCTTTTTATTTTATAAAAAAAAATTTATCTTTCTAATAACGTTTGTAATTATGCTGAAAAAGTTGAGTACGTTTTAGACATTTTTCGTAATAAAAGTACAGATTCACATTCACATACACACGCGAAAAAAAATCTCTGAACTTGGCTCGCGAGCCAATGGCAGAAGCGACATATATATATATATATATATATATGGGAGATAAATCATTCCGAAACATTAATCCAATTCCTTTTAGCACTTTTGTGATGGATAAATAAGTTAGAAAAAGGAGGATTGCATGCTTGCCGATGGATCAACGAAACGATAGTTGCAACGTACGCCAATCGATAACGAGCACTGATAAGTTTTTTTTTCATGCGTCACTTTAAGCGATGATACAATCGTACGTTGGGTACATTTATATCGCGCTATGTGAAATAACATCACACAGCATCGCGTACATTGTTTTCAGTACATTGTTTTGTAACGTTGGAGAATTTCATAACGCAAACACGAATATGTATAACGAAAATTTGTACATATTCGTGCGATGCGTGAGCAGAGCAATTAAGAAACGAGCATTGAAATGCGGCAGTTTTTATAACGTAAAGATGATCGATATAAATTGTCGTAGAAAAATGAATTGGCAGATATGCCAAAAGTGAAGATATTGCACTGCGCAAAATCCATAAGTTCGTAAAAATCCTTGGCCGTTCGACACGATGATCCAGCTATTTTCAAGCAATGTATAAGTATCAACAGCATTAACATCGTCCAATGCGTTCATCGCAAAAAGATTACGACATCGAAACATGTTTTCCGCTTCTTCGAAATCCAATTCCCAAAAAAAAGTAATTTATCTGTATTATTAACACAATGCAAATGCAAAGATCTTTCTTAAATATTAAAATGCATTGGACAGCATTAATGTTCTTTCTATACACCGTTTGCAAATATATACATATATTTGCAAATAATATAGACTCCCTTAATATAAAATTAAATCAAAGTTTAATTTTGATTTAAAAAAAAAAAAAAAAACAATTTTTTAAATGCTAAGAGTCAAAAGATAAGTAACAATACAATTTTAATCCAAGATATTTTATCTAGAATGTTGACAAAAAAAAATAAGATATTCTTGCACGATAGAGATAAAATTTTTATCCAATAAAGTCGATAGTCACTTTTTGAAAAATTTTTATGTCGATCGTGAAGATTCTCTTCCATCAAGTGCTATCGTATATTGAATGCACTGTTTTAAGGAAACGAGAAGATCTTCATAATAACTCGTAATAACTCGATCAAAAAAATATACGGCCGCTAAAAAATTAATTTACAACACATTAATTATAATTCGCTAAAATATTCGAAGGACATAAAATTGGTATTACCATCCGCGGAAATCGGATTTTTTCTCCATGCCTGAATTTTGTTATCGAGTCTATAATAGACTGATAATAATCAAAAAATTTTTATATTTTTTTTCCATTTTTGTTCAACTTTTCCGGTAATTATATATATATATATATATATATATATATATATATATATATATATATATATATATATATATATATATATACGTATATATCCGGTAATATATATATATACGCGTACAAGGCGATTCGCTGCTGAAGAGAGATAGAGATGAAAGCACCAGGAAAGTATAGCTATTACTTGCTAAGACGTCTACTTTCCTCGAATATAAAGAAATATCATTAACAAAAGTGATGTAATAACGTACAATAGTTAAGGCTCGTTATGGCGTTACATGTCTTTCGTCGCCCTTACAAAACGGCCTTCGAAGTGAATTATACCGTGTTAGAATCACTGCTTAAAAACAGTTATTTACATTCTGGAGTGCCGAAATTTTTTTATATATATATACCGATAACAATACTAAAATTTTTTCGCACAGAGAAAACTGCATTGTAAAGGTGCAAGTTTGGTCTGATTTAGTCGGAGAGAATTCATTCTGGAGCAATGCTCTTGAATGCAACGCGAGGAAATCGTGCTTCGCCCTGTCAAAGCATCGGAATTTTTGTAGTCGTGTAATTGTAAACGTTCGCACGATTTCTCCCGATCTGCACCACCTAAACTAGAAAATCGCACGGAAAGCGCGCTTAACGCCGCGCGAAACACATTGGAGATGCGCGTTCGAGATGTCTCGTGCGTCGCCGTTGAATAAAACAATGACGAAAGACAGTCATCCCCGGATAACGCGCATTTACTTTTAATAAGTAAAACCGAGAAACGATACTTTAACTTTCGACATCCGACACGTTTCCCAGGCTTCATCAAATCTTAATAGAGCAGCACCAAGCTGCTGCTTTCCATGCGTAATTCGTAGTTGTACCTCGGCGTACTATCTCTCTCTCAATATAATTCATCCTATATCCTTAACATGTTCTTAAAAATCTATCTGTATATGTACAAACAATGCGTGTTATACGCGCGCATTTTGCGCGTATTATGCCAAAGGTGTCGGTATCGAGAGAATATCGGTGGAGAAACGGTATGCAGGCATGTATCTCCACGACGCTTCCGCACTGCAAAGTGCTTCGAACGTGATTTAGCCGCGGGCAAGGTTGGGCGGACGACGCGCGGAGAAGACAAGGCGCTGGCGAGGACGTCAACACTTAACTCATGGTCACGCGTACAAGATCGGCTAATTAAGTCGCAGTGTCAATAACGATAAATAAAAAAATATATTCAAATTATAATTACATATTTTTCAATCATCAAATAGCGATTTACCAAGGTAATTTTAAAGAGATGAAAAGTTCTGACATTTAATGTCTGTATATTGAAAAAGGTATAAAAAAAATTGTTTTCTGAAAATAAAAGTAATTTATAAAGAGAATGAGTGGAACGCTATGTGCTACTGCCTTTGGCTGAAATCCGTAGTCCATCAGCCATCTACTTTAAATAGATTTAATATCGTAGACATGTATAAATAGATCGCAAGCGCAGTATCCAAAGATTGAAAGCGGCAATTATACTCGCTGGCATAAGGAACGCGCTACAAAAACCGATTCTTAATAATGTAATACTAACAAAATGTAACATATTAAAAAAGTCAGACGATACAAAAATTTAATAATTTGTATATTATTGATATTTCTTTTATAATTTGTTATTGACCAGCTTGTAAATGTTGATCTCACCTTAATGCGATGTATCTATGTCAATAAAATATTGATGATTGGAAATGTACAAATGATCCTATATATGCAAGTCGTTAAACCAATGAATAACGTTCTTGCTAGGATTGCTAAATAAAAAGCCTAATTAGAATAGTGTGCGTTTACTGTATTATTAGGTATCTCGCATAGTTGCACATTGAACATTGAGTCAGTGCCGTAAGTAGATTATTACCATGAGTCATATTTGCAGGCAATGATATAGAACCGAAATACCATACGTATATATTATATTACTTGTAACATTTTTTTTCTCATAATAATTAAAACTTATAAGTCGAATCTTTAAAATTATAACAAATTAACGCAAAATTCTTATTCTATTCTTTCAAATTTAATTTATATTAACATACATATTGATTTTTTAATTTCATTTTGAAATTTAATTCTTCCTCATTCTTTGTAATTCAATCGGTGAGAATTGTGAATATTTTTAAATATTTTCTATTGATTTAAAAAAACTGAGAGTGTATACACACATAAATTGCAATTCTAATGCTAATAAATGAATCATCATCTATAAAATAGAATAATTTAGCCCATCAGTTGCCCACGGTAAAAAATTCTAGGGTATTTCCTCATTCGCAATTTTTTCCTCTTTCGCAAATGATGATCTTCGATATCCCGCATTGGCTGTCGATCATCATTATGTGATTCGACGATATCTCGCATTCCGACGACATTATATGTTTTCTTGTTTACACGTGGCATCGTTCGCAACGTCCGCGCGTTTTCCATTCATTAGCACATGAGGACAAGCCACGAGGCGAACGATGGCTTCGCGCGTCGTGACTGTTCGTCAGGCGATTCTGCGTGTCGCAGAATTATCGCCGTCCCCGTTGACATCCCGCAATACCATCGACTCGAGAAAACGCTAACGCTGTCTAGGTCTCCAGGCCCGGCACCAGACTGTGGAAGGTCTGTATGTCATGGAAAGCGCGGCCGCAACTCTGATTGTTGTTACGCTCGAACTTGGTGAGATCGAAATGCTCGTCCAGAGACTGCAGCTCGGCCAGCCGTTCCTCCAGGGTCTTTGCCGAGTCGGCGAATCTGGAAAAGTCGCAAAGCCGATCGGGATCGACCACGTCGGCCACCTCCATTATGTCGGCTCCTGGTCTCGAGAGTTGCGCGCTCGCGTCGTCAAGGTCTCCGACAACGGGGAACAGCACGGAGTGACAGCTCGCATCGCTACCGATGCCGTTGGTCGTGGAGGTGCCGCCCGTACCGAGGATCGAGCCGTTCGATCGCACGTCGGCCGCGCCGCCATTCAGACGGTCTTCGGTGAAGCCCAGATGGTGATTGCCGTTGAGATGCGACGCCACCGGCTCCGGTTGAATCTCATCGATGTGCGAGAGCAAACGCGGCGTCGGCGGCAAGATGTAGAAGTCGCTGAATACATCGTCCTGTAAGTCCAAGTCATCGTCGTGCCTGTGCCGCTTGGAATTGAATCCGTCGTTCCTCGAATCGTCGGCCAACCTACGTTTATAATCGTACGTAATATTCAATTATTTTTCAAAACACGACGAAGATACGAACAAAAAAAAAAAGAAAAAAAATACATACAACTTTTCAAATCAAAAAAATTCGAGAAAAAAAACTGCGTTTTTATCGCGTATTTGTGTGCGTTATCGAGCTTTAAGTTATAATTCTCATCAAAGGAAGATTGATTCGAGATTGTTCTATTCTACAGACAGATGCGTGTACCTCTTTCTCGAGGAGGTCTCCTCGTCCGTTACGTCGGCGATGAGGTTTCCGGCAATAGTGTTCTCCTTGCTGGCGTCGTCCATGTATGACGCCACCATTGGAAGTGTACCGTAACTCCGTGTCTTCTCGTCCCGGTTTTCGCGCTGCAACCGTCGTAACGCGTTATTTATGAGAACAGATCGGCACAGGCTCGCCTCGGGATCCTCGATTCTTCTCAACTTGCCGGCGGAGATCTTGAGTAGACGGCGACGTTCCTCGCGGGCGCGATATTTGGCAGAGATCATCGTGGGTCGGCTCCTGCGGATCACTAGATCCTCTTCCAATCTCATTTTAGAATCTAAAAAAACAAAAAGGACACGAATATAATATTACAATTATCGTTTTATTATTATTATCATCATCATTGATTAAGACTATATTTAATGAAGTGCTTTGTACGCTTTGTCGAATAGCCTCGTGAAAGCGATGTTCTTTTGGCGACGAAGCGCAAGATGCCGATAAGGACCGTGGCACATAGCAAAATAAACTTAAGTAGTAAAACTTAAGACGTAAAACAACAAGAAAAGTAGCTGATTATGGACGATTATTTCTTGGCTGTAAGAAAAATAATATAAGGGGAGAAAATGTGATTGATCAATTTTCTTATGTGCCGCGATCCTGATGAGTATCGTAACCTCTTTCACAAGTACACAGGTGAAACGTGTAGCTAATATATTTGTAAACTCATCGTATCTAATACATTTGTGTAAACTCGTGTTTATCGAAATTGCCATGAATTGAAAAGCTACTGAGAAATTTATTTGGTAATTCAAGTGAGTCATTTGCAATGCCGTCGATAAATGCCTTTAGATACCGTAGCGCAACGATACCGTCGATAAGCCGTTGTCATCTGTAGCAAGTAGGCTACCCTTCGAAGAATATCTGTTAAAGAGCTTATTTTTTACCGAGTACATAATGTGATACACGCGGTGTATTCGTTTATTTACCGTGGAATAATATCTACAAAAGAGTATAATATCAGACAAATGACCCCCTACAAATGATTACGTGAGGAATATTTTTTGTATTATTATTATTTTTTTTTTTTCTTTACAATCTGTTTGCAAATTACTTATTTATCTGTTATTCATTTCATAACTTACTTCTTTTTGTATTAATTTTTTTACCATCATCACCGATCGTCACCACGTCATTTAAACTAACTCGTTTGTGACTTGTTATACGTGACACTTGTACCTGCACTTGTGTCCTTGTCCTACGCGCGTGGAAAAGGAAACGGGGGGGGAAAAGAGAGAAGGAGAGAATTTGATTCTCCGGCATTTCTAACGGTACGGCGGAGACGGTAAGACACGCGAGCGTGATTCTAGAAGGCAGGCTAGCGGGACGTAAGTACGCGCTTACGTCTCACGCACTTGGGACGTAGCGTGCTCGCGCACTACGCCGATAATGGACGGACGAGAGAGGTCTCTTTTTCTTTTCCCCCTATCGTCACCGTCGTCCGCGACTGACCCAGTTACCGGCGCTTCCGTCTTTCCGTCGTGGCGCATAAATAAATCCCGGCCGTTTGCTTCATATCGGAAAGGGGGAAAATACGCGCGTACCGTTATCGCGGCGTTTTATAATCGATGATGATGATGATGATGATGATGATGATGATGATGATGATGATGATGATGATGATGATGATGATGATGATGATGATGATGATGATGATGATGATGATGATGATGATGATGATGATGATGATGAGAAAGAGGATGATGATGATAATGATAATGATGATGATGATGAGAAAGAGGATGATGATGATAATGATAATGATGATGATGATGATGAAAATGACAACGATGAAGATACCAATAAAAAATTGAACAAAGCCCTGAAGAAAATCCTGGACAAAGGTAAAGGTCCAACGACAACCCAGGAGGCCGAAGAGGAGCTCACGTGAGATCGAAGTGTGACGGGCTTTGTGTTGCGCGAAAGACAAAAATTATACAATGATAAAAAGCTCTCCCAAAAGCAGTAGAGAAATTTATACCAATAGATCAATTGGTATTGATTAAAACAATATAATATAACTGAAACTTGGCTGTTCACTCACAATTCACGGTAGAATTGGGCGGTGTAGGACATACCTGCATGAATCTATTATCATATCTATTATCATTTTTTGTTTCTACTCACAGTAAAATGCATCCGTAAGCCTGGATTCATTTCCACTCAATTGTCAGAGTTTCCTTAGAGTTCCCACACCTTTTTCATACAATGCATGTCCTAACAATTCTTCTTTAACGGAGCTACGCAACCAAGTCATTATCATCATATTTTGATGAACTACTTGGATGAACTAAGTCATTATCAACAAAATATTTTAATTTCGATTTAAAATTTAATAGTTTTAATTTATTAATTTAATAGTTTTAAAATGTTAATAAATTATATTAACTTAATAATTACAGATTTTATTTTATTATTTATTTTATATTTTAATA